CCCCAAAACCCCAAAACCCCAAAACCCCTTTTTACTCAAATATTTTTGAAAATTAAAATATTCAAAGATGAGGGCAAGAGACCGATTCCCCAGTAAATTGAACCCACAGGGCTGAAATAGCTCAAAAGTGTCTCCTTTGGGTAGGTTTCAACAGATTTCACAGGTAGGTGTTCCTGTAGTTATTTTGGTATAAATTTTTGCTCATTTGGATCCCTTCCTGAGTCTTTATAATTTGTTAAGAATTCCGCAAGAAGGAGGCATGAATTTCAAAAAGAATCCAAACTATCCAATTTAAAGTTATTTGACGAGAAGAGTCCTTCATATTTAAGCCAGAAAGAGGATAAGCTGAAGAAGCAGTCTAGTCTGAGTGCATTTCGGAACCGTACAGGTTCCATCGCATTCAAGAGTCAGAGAGCAAGGTATTTATTTTATGAACATTCTTAGCAATAATATTAAAAATATTGCCTTAAACAATGAGTCAAAGACACCTAGTGCTGGAGCCCGGTATTTTCAAAATTCCTTATCCAGAGTAAGTCTCAATATTTTGACTGTAGAATTACTCCAAGAATACTAGCAATGAACAAAAACCGAAGAAAAGCACAAGGTTCGATCTGAGGTATGCTTATTTTGGGTATTTTTGTAGTAAATATTCAAACCAAAGAAAGGAAAAGGCATTGGAGAAGTACATTCAGTCTTTCTAAGCTATAGAAATATCACCCAGGGTGATCTCAAGCACCGCTATGAAAGCCTACTGGACAAATACTTCCATAAACCTGCTCAGAAGGAGGTCCACAGGGAGGGAGTTGAGTCCAAGATCAAGAGGTACCAAGAATTGCTCAACGTAAGTATACTAAACAACCTGTAATAGATGAATTCAAGTGTGGAAAATAAAGAAAATGATGAAATAGTCGTGAGAAAAACAGCTACAATGTCAGACGAAGGCACTAAAGAAACTTTTGAAACCTACGCAGAAACAATGCTTGAGAATAAGTATCTTCGGCCCACAAGAGAGGAGAGAGTATGTTTTCTAGATTCTAACTCAATTATAGATCAAATCTTTAGCAGCAACTAACCAAGATGATGACCAAGAGGAGGACTTCACCTTCACTGAAATGGAACAAGACTACAAAACCAGAGAAGGTATTTAATTGCCTGATGCAATATAGAGCGATGGAAAATCCAGACTGAGAAACTTAACTCCTGGAGAGACGAATTTGAGCAAAAGTTCAAAACCCTTGAAGCCAAGACTAGTGGGTTGTATAACAAAAATGATGAGAAAGAGCTTAATGAAGAAAATTTCAAAAATAATTATAAGGACATTGAGCTGGTCAGCACAATTAATCAATCTGATGGGTTTAAATCATATTTTGGAGAATACAAAACCATTAATGATCCTGAACAACTAAATCAACAGGAGGATAGTAAATGATCTGATGAGCTATGAGAGCAGGAAGAGTCTTCCCAACAAGTCCAAGTGTCTCATAAAGCATCAAAGCCTCCTATTTATCGGAAGAGCAAGAACCAATCTTTTGATAGACATTCTCAGAGTCAGAGTAAAGTGGAATATTCTGATAATGAATCTGCCCACAGCCGGATAATTAGAGAAGAATCAGAAGATCCAGATTCTGTTGACCAGAACTTGCAAGGAGTTGAGGAGAGCCTTAATGGCCTAACTAAAATAATACAGAGCAATAACTCCGTGGTTAAATACTCTGATGAGAATCAAAGGACTATTTCAGAAATAATTCCAATAGAGGTACTCTTTCAATGGCAGATGGTGTTTAAGGAGACCTCACCTGATGAAATTGGAGCTACCTCTATGGAGTATAAGAACGAACTGCTCAATTTGGCCTCTCTCATCAGCGACTTGTTGTCCTCAGATTAAACAATTAATATTCAGTTAAAGATTGTATTAAGGGGTTTTGGGGTTTTGGGGTTTTGGGGTTTTGGGGTTTTGGGGTTTTGGGG